ACTATGCCATCGATGTCATACTTTCCATCCATATTGGGTGGAATCATAGATCTACGGGATGGAAACTGATCACTTGTCTGACAAGGTAGTAACTTAGATGCGTGGAAAACTGGGTAAGTGTGGAGGTGTGCTGGTAACTCTATGGTGTAGGACGGTCCATCTTCGCCGTCCTTGACTTCCAGAACAGGCCACGACCCTCTATATGTGGGTAATAACTTCTGCGAGATGTTCTCCTCAGGTGCAAATTCTCTAGAACTAACCCAGACTAAGTCGCCTACCTGGAACTGTGAAGGGCGACGGTGTTTGTTCGCTTGCTCTATCATCTTATGCTGGGCTTTCCTGAGGTTCTCGACAACAGTAGCTAGTTCTTTCTCGTGCTGTACAGCAAMCTCCCTGGTCCCGRGCGGCAATCTATGAATCTGATCCCGGTTGAGCCCCTCAAACGGTCTGCGTGGTCGAAAGGACTTGTGCAGTTCGTTGGGAGTGCGACATGTGGACAAATGCACGCTGTTATTGTACGCACTAGCTACTTTGGGCAACATCTCATCCCAGTTAATATGATCCGGCCTAATATACATGCGCAGAACTTGCTGTAGGATCTTGTTCATTTGCTCTGTCTGACCGTTAGTCTCTGGATGACGGCCGAACGGCATCAATAACTTAGACCCATATACTCCCATGAGTTCTTGCCAGTTCTGGCTGGTGAAGCGACTATCTCTATCGCTAACTATTGACAATGGGATTCCATTCTCACTAACCCAACAGTCAAAGAATCTCTGTATGACTAAATCAGTACATGCCTCTGAAGGCAAAGGAACAAAAACTGCGTATTTACTAAATCGGTCAACTATGACCATGACTTGGCTCTTGCCATGCCTGCTCTTGACTTGAGTGTCCATGAAGTCGATGGACACGGAGTCCCCCGGCTGGTCCGGAATGGGCAAGGGTCTGAGACGCGCGTAGAACTCTTGTTACGCTGGCAAACCTTACAACTGCGAACATATTCTACGCAGTCATTCTTCATTTCTGGCCAGGTATATGCGCGCATTAGGTTGGCTAAAGTCTTCTACCAACCAAAATGACCCTCTGTGTCGTGGCATTCTCCCAAGATCAGACTATGGATCTCTTCGCTACTGGGAATGCACAACCGGTCAAAGACATTAGGCTTCTCAAATAGTAACCCTTCAATAGTGCGGTAGTTCGGCTCAGTCTCTGGGGCCTCTTTGACTTTCTTAAGAAGGTTACTGTAGATAGGATCCTGCGCGTACGCTTTTTTAACCCTCTGCTGCAGGTCCTTCCCTATATCAAAATAATGCACTATCGCCCCAAAATAATCAGCCCTTCTACTCAAAGCATCCGCGACTACGTTGTACTTCCCTTTGACAGGCTTGAGCTCGAAGTCGTACTGATCTATCTCTGTGGCCCACCTAGTAAGCTTAGGTGTCATCTTGGCCTGCATCTTTAACCATCGTAACGTTTCATGGTCAGAATAGACTTTAAAGTGCCTCCCAAGCAAGTAGTGCTTCTAGTGGTCTAAGGCTTGCCTGAGAGCGTAGAGTTCCCTCTCATAGGTCGATGTTGCGACCTTCTCTGAAGGCATTCTGGCGGACATGAACTCTACGGGTCTATACCCATTGCCATCGTCTTGCTGTAGCACTGCACCTATGCCGTACTGACTCGCATCGGTCGTGACAACAAAGGGCAAGGACGGTCGGCGACTTTAAGGACTGGATACTCTATCAATGCCTGCTTTAACTTTTTCATGGCAGATGTGCAGTCCTTATCCCACTTCCAGATAGTTTCCTTTCTCAACAATATGCGAAGGGGCGCAACGATGGTGGAGAAGTTCCTCACGAACTTCCTATAGTAATTAGCTAAGCCCAGGAACGAGCGCAACTCTGTCAGCGTACGTGGCGTGGGCCGATCTCTAATAGCTGCGATCTTGCTATCCTCTGGCTTAACGCCGTCTCCGTCTAAGACGTGGCCTAAGTACAAAACTTGGGTTTTCGCCCAATCGCACTTCTTTGCATTGATCTTGAAGTTAGCTTCCCTCAGCTTCTCCAAGACCTGCCTGAGATGACCCTGATGCTCTTCGAGGGTCCTGCTAAACACTAGAATGTCATCTAGATAAACTRCAACAAATCGGTCTAACCACGGCCTAAACAAATCGTTCATACAACTCTGGAATGTGGCTGGCGCGTTGGTTAGTCCAAAGGGCATCACTATGAACTCGTAGTGCCCATATCTAGTCCGGAAGGCTGTTTTATATTGATCATCAGGATGCACTTCTATTTGATGATATCCGGACTTCAAATCTATCTTAGAAAAATACTTCGCCCCCTGCTCTCGATCTAAGAGATCGTCTATCCTAGGCAGTGGCTCAACATTCTTTACCGTAATAGCATTCAGACCCCTATAGTCTATGCACATTCTCAACTCTCCCTCTTTCTTAGGAACAAAGAGAACAGGCGCTCCGAAAGGAGACGAACTGGGCCTAATCCAACCCTTCTCGAGGAGCTCGTCTAATTGCTTGCGAAGCTCCTCTAACTCCCGTGGGGACATCCTGTACACAGTGCCCTTAGGAGTTCTACTGCCAGGCTCTATCTCAATGCGGTGCTGGATGGGCCGCGGTACTACTCCTATCGGCGGCTCGGTTAGATCCTTGAACTCTTCCAGTAGCTTGGCAATCGCATGGTCCATCGACTTTTCTTCCGTAGACTCAGTCACTGGCCTAACATAGACAACAAAAACCTGTTCCTCCAATTTCTCCTTTTTCACTAACCTGGCGAACGCAGGAGCACTAAGACAGCAATGTGCCAAGGGATCCTCGCTTGAAGAACTAGGGAGCCTACAATCGTGCTCCTTCAAATGGAGCGTGGCCCCGACTGCCTCTCCCCAATCCATTCCCAAGACAATATCAAATGGGAGGCTGTCTTCTACGATGAGAGTCAGGGAGTGGAGGACCYTTTCCACTTTCCCATCCTTCTCTAGGCGAAAATACGCCTGGACTCCCTCTACATACTCCTCCACAACCATCATACGGTTGTCTGCGAGGATACTAACTATAGGGTCTGCTAGCTCTTGGACCTCAAGTCCCAACTTCAACTTCTGCAACGCTTTTCTACTAATACAACCCCTGAATCTACTAGGGCCCCTACCCTAGCTCTAAAAATCTCTACATCTACCAGAATTAGCTGCCCTTTCTGTTCTTTCTTCATCTTGGCCCAGGCGGGCATCCTCTCCTTCAACTCTTCGGCCACGCCTGTGAGGGAGGTGTCTAGAGAGACTCTAACACAAGCAGTCTTTGGACAGCCATCTAGACACCGGCCTGCAACCTCTGCCATAGGCACATGTGGTGTGGAAGTCTCCTGCCGGCTAACGCTGTGTTCCCCACATGGCCTAATGGTAGGGGTAGTTGCCACCCCTACCGGTGGTTGCCTTTTGGCCCTTGGGCAGCCGTTCGGGTCTCCCGATACTTAGGACAATATTTGATGATATGGCCCGGGTCACCGCAGAAAATGCACTGGACCCGGTCCAATCGTTGTTGCCATAAAGTCTGGTCCAGACCCAAAGATTCCCAAGGCCTACCTTGAGGTTGCTCTGGGTGCCATCCGCCTACCCTATAGGGAGACCTGTTCCTAGGACGGTTTTGCGGGGGACCTTGACCCCTGCCTCCCGCTTGGCGGTTTCCTCCTCTGCCGCCAACCCCCTGATCGCCCTGAAACCGGCTCCCTGAGGCCCGGCCCCCTTGACCCTGGCCTCGTCCTCCTCCTTGCGGCCTCCCTCCGGCCGCGACAACAGCGTAAGTTCTCCCCTGACCTACACCGCTGTCATCCTCCTCTAACCCCCACTCAATTTGGTCGTAGGGGACCTCATCCACACTACCCTCATCTAGTGTTAGGACAAGGCTATCCTTAGTCTTCACCTGCCCTGAGATAGTGCGGCCTTTCCATTGCTTTCCCTTGTCCAAGTCTTTGTGCCAGAAGGTAGACACGRATGCAGACTTGGCTTCAAAGGCSACCACCTCACGAYTAAGAGAATCATAAGTAGTGGCCGGATCTTCGCTCTTCGCGAAGAAGTGCCCTCGCAAGGCTTCGGGGATAGCCCGGTAAAAGAGGCCGACCAATTGGGTGTCTGTGACCCCATGGTGAGGGACAACGATTAATTCATCCATCGTGCTCTTGAGTGCCCTGACACTCTTCCACTTACGAGCGTGGATTGTCTGGAGCCTATCTGAGGCCTTGACGCTTCGAGCGACATCTGCAAATCGCTCGTGCAGCAATCTCATGAACTCAGTAAGGGAGGTAAATGACGAATAGGCAACTGGATCGTCATTGCAGCTAGCGGCGCGCACTAGGGACCTTGCAAAACCGGCGGCCTCATCTTTAAGCGCGTGGATCGCGATCAGGACATGCTGATCTGGGGAGACCTGTTGCAGATGCACATAGGTCTTAATGTTGGCTTCCCATTTGTCAAAGTTCTCTTCCCTTTTCCCACTATAGGAATCAGGGAATTAGACCTTGATCGGCTCTCTACGCGGCGGGCGTGGTTCCTCCTCCTTGGGGGCTGCCACTTTGACGCCTTCAATGGCGCCGACGCAAAAACGCTCTGTCTTCTCGATGCGATGATTCACCTCGGCTCCTACGGCCCTTATCAGTTCACGCGCAAAGTCCCGGAATCCCATTCGCATCGAGCACACAACTATGTCCTGGCTTCGGCTAAATTCATACTGCTACTCTTGTATCTTTGCTAACCGCTCGACGCTCTGGGCAAGGATCTCTACCTTTCGTTCGAGATCTACCTGAGGGGTCAACTTTAGACTTAGTTTCTGCACTTCTTCTAATTCCTTGACCGCCTCACTTGCCGCCTCCACCCTTCTCTTTTTCTCTCTCATCATCGCGAGTTTCCACTCCATCCTCTGTTCATCCTCCATCGCCTGCCGCTTTAACACATCCTTTTCTGCTTCCCATTTCTTTAGGGTCACTTCTTCCTCCTCTCCCAAGGACAAGTTAGCAACCCACTCTGAAATCCGTTTCTCCATCTCACCATCCCTGTTGCCACTGTGCTGCCCTCTCCTTCTTTCTAGTGGCGGTCCCTCATCTTCTTCCTCTTTCACCTCTTTCAACTTCTCCTCTTCTTCTTTCTTTATTCTCTCCTTCTCTCTGGCCATCTCCTCCTCTATCTTTCTCAATTTTGCCGCCTGCTCCTCCTGCATGGCCTTCTTCTTGGCCTCCTTCTTCTCCTTCTTCTCTTGCAGAATGGCGGCCATCTTCTCCTCCTCCTCCTTCGTGTAGGGGCTGGTGGAGGTACCACCACGAGTGGGCCCTACTCTAC